GTGGTGGCGGCGGCGGAGGTACCATAACTTGAAAACTGATTTTTTCGTTGCTCACAGCACTATCTGCATTTATGGTGACCATAGGAGATGGTGGAGGAGGCGGCGCAGGTGATGATACAGTTATCGAAGCTCCAGTTAAAACAGGCAAGTGTGGAGCACTATCTTCGGTCTTCGACTGAGAGTCTCTCTCGTCACTAATTGGCGTCGGTAGATCTAAACGAACAGTGGGCGTCGTGACCGCAGATGATGGTGCGATAGGACTTTGGGAGTTAAGATCGAGCACAAATTTCTCATCATCCACAATGCCCGGTAAATCTGGGAGTGTTAGCGGTACATTTATTTGAGGAACCTAAAAATACACAAGAATCTTCTGTAAGAATAAATCGTAGAATCATAAATTCAAAAAACAAGTATAAATATTTTCAAATTGACATAAATAATATATTGTTAAATGAGTTAATGTGTTATATGAAAATCTGACCTCTCCAAGAGTCGGGGTATACAAATAGCTGGAAGACGCATCCATTTCTGACGAAAGCCACGGTTGTACAATTGAATCTGGAGCGTCCTCAATTTGCTGCTTGTTGACAGACTGACGTGATGATCGCATGGACGTTTTTTCGTATGGGCTATCCATGCTATCGAACAGTAGGAGGGCACTAACTGAGGATAATTGTGGTGGGAATGGTTCTACGTCATTCTCAAGGTTATCTTTTTTGCCAGCCTTTGATCGTACGTGATAAAATTGGAGCTTTTCTTGGAGGCTGACATTCGCGGCATATTGACCGTCCTCCGTCTTGCAATTAGAAGATAAATATGCTTCGGGGATATCCTTTATAGGCACAGAACATTTGTAAATGCTTGGTATAGCAGCGGTATGCTCGTACTGTGGCGGTATGGTCATTTGATACTCCTTATAAGTGTGATTAGCCGGATACTTAGCAGCAGAATACATTTTTACCGCTTTTAGATTTAAATTAGTTTGTAAATAGTGCAATCTGTCCTCCAACTTCCTAGCTCTTTCTTTAATGTTGGTCAGTCTAAAGACAAATTTATTCTTTAGTAAATGTTATCATTGGATCAACCAAACGTATAATTAAGCAAGGCAATCCAATACAACACACATTAAAAATCAAGAGATATTTTTTTATTCTACCTTTGTGTGTTCTCCGAAAGCCTTCTGTCAATGCAATCAAATATATATGAGACAGCATCGCCCAGATTGTCTAGAGCTTCTGTTATTTGAACTATAGTCTCTTCATGTCTCAAATTACTTGGAATAACACCTGAAATTGGCAGATAGCCATCTATTATACATTTTATTATATTGCATTTGATAAATATATCAAATGCAATATAATAAAATGTATAATAAAACAAACACACACTATACATATGTATAAAATATATATTATTTTATATGTATGTATTAATGTGTTGCAAGATAAACAATCGGATTTAATAATCAAATATAAATGTAGAATTATACAATAATTATAAACATTTACACATTGTTTTCAACGAAAATATTTCCAATTCAAGAAAGTCATTTAGTACATTTAGATATCTAAGCTTTAATTATTTTAATTTTTTCTTCGTCCTCTTGATATGAAATTATACACCATCTTGAATCCTTTTATCTCCTTTTTCAGCCAACTCCAGATACAGCCTGGATTGCTCGCCCATATTTTTTAAAATAATCCTTTTATTATTTTCTAAAATTAAGCCAGTTTCGAAAAAGAGTGACATTCACTCCCAAAGTTTTAGAGAACAGGTTATGTTGCATCGTGTAAATAAAGTGAACGTGCGAATTTGTACGTCGCAAGCGGAAAGTACGGGATTCCACGTACCAATCTCGATTCGTTCTGGCATCTTGGTCCCGGCGGGAGAGTCGCAAAGGTAACCGTCTCACAAGACAATAATGCACATCACATATCACGGGACGTCGACTGCGACTTGCGAGGTGCGACGTGTCCTGAATTATGACACGCGAATACGCGGATTACGTTAACTCCTTGGTTATCTCAGCTGTACGCTGCATGACAATGAATGACATCCGCCTCAGATCATATTTCTTAAATTCAACGACGAACTGTCACTGTGAACTGTGAGCATGGTGGAAAATTTGATTGGCTAGCTGATGATTGCTCTGAAATCTGAATTGCCGTTATGCGCGTTGTCTCACCCATGCGCCATGATGTAAACAAGATGTTTCATTGCGCATGATGACGATGGAGTTGAATTCGGAGCAGCTAATCAAAATTTAGCTTCAAATACAGCTCGACTGCGCAACATTACAATACGTGGTAGATTCGTTTTCAGGATTAACGACTCGTGAGTAAAAGAAAAATATTTGCTGTATACATACAAGAAATATAAAGAAAACTCTGGTGAAAAAATTTTAATATCTCATATTTTTTTAAGAACTTTTCAATTTTAAATTTATGAAGATTTCTAAAAGAATATTTCTTTAACTTTCTGAAGTTTTCTTCGGAAATTATGGAATGAAAAAAATAGAAGACTTATTTTATATTCGATTTGTATTCATGTATACAAATTTTATAAAATCTGAAGTGTTCTAATTTATGTAAAAAAATCTGAGAAATTTTATATAAAAGTTATATAAAATTGTGAAAGATTTTGAAATTTATTTTTTTAATGTAAAAATTCTGAAAAATTATCTGGAAAATTCCAAGAAAATTTTCATCAGGAAAGTATTTGATTTACATATGTATATTATTAGTAAATTCACTTCAATTTTGCATTCTTTTAAATATTTCAAATGCATGGTACCTCCATGTATTGCAGATTTTTTGTTCTTATTTGGAGCGATTCAGAGTTTTAGGATTATCGGATGTAAATAAAATGTATAGGAGCAGCGAAATATGTAAATAAATACAATGAATATATCACCAACTTATCATGTTAAAATTAAAACAATATATATAGTTACATAATTATACATATACATTTTTTTTATTCGAGCATTGTAAATTTTTTTTCTTAGCTTAGCGTTTAGGATCACGATAAGAGACATTTACAAGAACATAAAAACTTTATTGTGGTCCATAATATCAGGTATAGCAGTTACACTTACGAAGAATTAAATATCTAAATGTTTAACGCTAATAAGATGAAAGATCACGAGAATATACGACGCATAATTCCAGTAAACAACTTGTCCGCCAATATGCCAGCAAATTGGTAACAAATTCGATGAAAAATTGCTAGCAAATTGGTATCGATTGTATCCACATTAAGCTCGTGTTTCGCCGGCTGAGTCTGCTGACATAATGTGACAGCAAATTGGCGATAGAAATCGAGTAGAATCTATCGAACGTTGATTCTACTCTATTTCTGTGACGAACTGTGTAAGAAGTGTGAAAATTTACTTGATTTCTGTGTCATAAATTTGCCTTCATATTTCATTGAGAAATTTTGCTAGATATTTCTGCCAGCATTTTGCCATAAACATTGTGTATATACCACATCCTGTATCAAAGTAATTATAGCTTTTTTGTCGAAAATTTATAACAGACACTTTGTAGAATTTGTTTTCGACAGACTTGGCTGTCTGAGATCTTTTCTTCTCGTTTCTGACTAAATATTTTCGATGGCATAACTCCGTTCTAATCGAGATGATAATATCATGCGAATCTAGCTTTCGGTAACAATCATTCTCACGACGAGCTACAACAGAAAAATACAGAAAACATCGACAATACTGGACGGACTATACACTCCCGCATTATGAGGCTGATAGACGAGATACCTAGCGATTTAAAATTGTAACGTAATTTTTTTTAAATGCTACATTAATTTGTTTACTCGCTAAAATGCTACAATTATTTACACAATAAACAAGAGTATGCGGATATGTTACGCAGATATCGCCGCAGTTTTCGTCGCAAATGAATTGACTTGAAGCACGTTGCTATTATTAAATATTCTATTATAATTTAAGGAATTAGGCTTTAGTTTCCAGCCGGGAGAGCCAAGAAAATGTATGACCTAATCGTTTGTTTTGTTTAATTCAGTCACTCCCTTTCTGTATAATCTCCTGTAGAGATAATGCAAGAATTAGGAGTCCAATGTACTTTTTTTATACGAATACTGCACTACTTTATTGATAATAATAATATAATTCTCCTTTACTTAACTACTGAAGAGGGCGGAGGCCCGTATTTACATGACTTATTTGGAGCCGCAATTAAATTCGTTTCTGAATATTATTTATTCAGCAAGAAAAAATTGCATCTATTATGAGATTAAACGGGGGTTAAAATCGTATACCTGACTCTTTGACGTTGAGAGAAATGCAAGACCGAGGTCCGAGATATTTAAAATTAAGTGTTATAAATATATATAAGTATCGCATATTAAAAAATAAATACGGTAAGAACACAAAAATACTTCGGAGTAGTAACATGCGCGTGCAATTGCTCGGGCTCGGGAACAAAACATCTTAATCTCGAGGGAGTTCAAGCACTTGGAGGCTGTGAGCAAATCGCGTCGATGTCGACGTCGATTATGGTTAACAAAGTCTTCTCTCCATCTATATATTACAAGTAGATATTACAGCTTAAAGAGAGAGGGGCAACGAATCATTAAGTCAATCGCTGGTGTCACCCGACCCGAAATGCCGATTTCGTGCAAACCGATGTATCAGTCTATATCACAGAAACGGAACTTTCCATTTCGCTTGCAGTCTTTTTCTCCTCACTGTCGTTGCCATCGTCGTGATCGTCGCCGTCGCGGCGATTGTGGTCGCCGACCTGTTCATCAGGGACTAGAGGCGCGTCCTTCGATAAGATCAAGGAGTCCTCGCCGATAGGTGCAGCGGCTTCGACTAGATTTTCGACGGACGCCGCCGTCGTCGGTACCTCGTGGCAGAAGCTCCTACGTAAGGAATGCTGCGTCCTCGCGGTGCCCCTGCGTATACTGCTACGAAGCAGATTCGCCACGTCGGCGGCCGTTAAGTTCGAACCGGACAGGGTGTTCGTGGCAGCGTTCGCACACGGCCGGCGACCACGGTCGATCGTCGAGTGAGTGCGTTCGATTGTGCGCGATCTGTTCGCGATGCCGATCTTGCTGGCGCGGTCGATGGTGTTCGGCCGATGACGACGCTCGATCGCCGACACGTCCATGCCGTGCCGGCTATCGCCAGTATTCGTCACATCCGGCCGCGGTTCCGACAACACGTGGATTGCGACGTGATCGTGCGACATCGGCGCGCCGCTCTGGTTCATCTCCACCAGGACGGTCGCATAATCAGGAGGCGGTGGCTGCAACGCCGGCCTCTGTCGCGGCGCGCTGCTCTCTCCCAACACGTTCGCGATCCTCCGCACGCTTCGCCGGAAGCTCTGCCGCAGCATCTTCGCGATCCGTGCTCCGGTCGCTGTAGTATAGCTAGGCGGAGGTGTGTACTTCGGCGGCGGATCCTCGAAAGGTATCTCCGTGGTTGCGGTGGGTAAGATTCCGTTTCCGTGCAAGCTGGTGCTGGTGTCGTTTCCAATTTGAGTCTGAGCGTCGCGAGGATCTTCTGGATCCATCGGTCGACAAAGCAATTGAATTCTCTGCAAAGATAAAACAAATTGTTTTATTGAAGATAAATACGGTACATTTAATTCAATGTGTTTTTATACATTTTACCTACAACTTTATGTATAATTACTTGTACAACGACTTATTAAACTAATCCCGATAAAGACAGAAAACAGTAACATTACAATGTTATAATTTTCTATTCAACATAATGAACTGTTATATGTTCTATTAAATTTATGTTGTTGAGTGGGAAATTATAATGTTGATGTAATGTTATACTATACTGTTACTTTTTATTTAACGGAATATTATTAATACATATTACAAAGTAACGCCGCTGTGACACGTACATTAACACAGAAAGAAATTAATGAGAACTTACGCCGTTACATTGTTCACAATGATTTATTGTTACTGCTACCTGTTCGCTCTATTGTCAGCAAGAACAGAAAGATAGTGATAGATATGTTAGTCATTAATTAGAATATGCTAATACTGCTAATAGCATACAGACATTGTACACAAGAGGGAGTGTCTGGTAATAACCGTATCATACTCTGCAAGCAGGAATACTTACATCGAATATATCGGGTGGTCCGTTATTCAAGTATCGACACGCTTGTATGGCAGACACTACCGGTATTATGAGTATCGGTGTCAGTTGAATCGCCGTTCCAAGTTGCCTCGCCCACACAACCCAGTAATCTTTGCTCGTGCGACGATAAGAATACAGTTCCCAGAAGTCACCGCTCTTGAAAACTATAATACTCAGAGCCTACGGAATACAATAACGATGACACGCACTGTGCTTGACTGCGACCTAATAGCTTCGTCGTGTCTAACAAGAATTGACTTACCACCAAAGTAAGGGGGAGAACAACGGTCCACGTGAAGGAGAGGAGAGGGGCGACCCAGTACTTGAGATATCGTCCACTTGGTGGGAATAACTCGGCGACGACTGCCTCGCCGGAGTGCGGCCGCCCGCGGATCGCGAACAGAGCGACGATTTGTATTAGATACAAAAATATTATCCACCATGCCCCGCCGACGGTGTAATCGAGATAGTACACGACATAAATACCCAACTGTAAACACATACAATGACATATGTATATAAATGAAGATAAAATTTAGAGCAGTATATTTATCAGAATTATTATGAAAATATACATATAAAAATAAAAGTATTTTTTTTTGTTTTAATGGTAAGATGGTAATTAGATAATTTCTATTGTTTTAGTAATAGTAAATATAATAAATATATATAATATTCTCATTAACGTGATTACCATTTATTATCATCATTAATTTTGTCATTACTATTATTAAAACTATTACAGTTTATTAAGCTACACTAATGATATTGTCGAAGCACTCGTCTTTATATCCTTCACTTGTATATCCAAAAATATAACGTTATTTTTGGTATAACCGGAATATCTGCTCAATGTAGTATGGGGAATAAACATATACAGTCCAGATTCCTTATCGGGATCCGAGACATCTTTATCTCGGCCCACGGTCTTCACGATTTTCCTAACATCGTTTGCAGGATTATCTTGGTCTCGTAGATTTACGACAGCTCTAAGAATGCAGGGCCAATCCAGTAAGGGATCCCACTTTCCATTCTCTACGCGCAAACATCCGATAATGTGACGATCCTTCCACTGTCCTCTACCGTTTAGAAACAATTCCATTCTCAGAGTGTAACCATATTCCTTGTTGTGAAATATCGGACTATAGAGCGCGCGATCGCTTTCCTTTGCCTCGTTCATATTTTCTTTGTAACGATCGATTCGCCATATAATATGGCCATTCGTTGAGGCACTCTCCACACCTTCGCAGGAACATAAACTCAACGATGGTTCCGGTCTACAGTTCTCTGCTATTAGCTCTTCGATATATTTCAGATTCTCCTTCATTTGAAACTTTAGACCTTTTATCTCCGATTTTCGTTTGGCCACGCTCTCGGCGTGTTTACAGATTTCTTTCGACAAGCTATTCACCTTTTCTGATAAAATATCATGTTTGGATATTACTTCTTTCATATTCTTACACCTCATTTCCAATTCCAATTTCAAATCGTTGATACGTTGCGAATGTTCCTGCCATATATCGCTCGCGCGTACGCTCTCCTTAGCGACGAACGTCTTCACGTCTTTCAATTCCTGGAACCAATCGTTTGGCGTGCACACGTGTTTGCCTTGTTCGTCAGTCAATTCTCCCTCCAATAATTTTAGCTGCTCAGAGATTTGTCGTAAATTCAAGGTAGTGCAATGCTGCATATCGTCGGTGATCATCTCCAGAGTATTCAACCTTCGATTCAATGCTGTGTGGTTACTGCGAAATTCTTTGACCGCTTCCTCGATATTCAATTGCAATGCGGCGAAAGATTCCTGTTGAGAATGTAGTAGACTTAAATTTCTAGAGAGATCATCCTGCAAACGAATCCGCTCTTTTTCCCCCTGATCGATAGCTAAACGCAACAACGTCAGTACCGAGAATACTTTTTCTTTCCACACCGAATCTTGGATATCCCTTATTTGACTGTTTCTCATCGATGTTCCCTTGTTGCATATTTTCTCGTGTACTTCTAGGTTCCTGCGAGGAACATAAACCCCGCATTTGTTCGGACATTCCTCCAAGACTGCCGCGCAATGTGTTATATGCTCCGTTAAATATTTCTCTTCCAAAAATTCATTGCAAAAATAGCAAGGCACGCTGCGACGCACTACCGAATGAACGTTATTACTCATCTTTCGTTTTAATACGGACACGCTATGCGATATTAATATGCTTCACTTGCGGTATTAATATGCCGGAGCGAACTAAAATGAAGTACTGATAACAATTTTCTGGAATGGAAGATTGTACGCTCTATCTGATAAGAGAACTGGGAACCTTATCCAAAGACAGAGATAATATAACAGGTATACCCAAGTTACATAGCTGAATCACGCGCGTAATATGTTAACATACTGCGTAAATGAAAATGCGATATCTTCATGTGACTCATATACGTATAATTAATAACTTAAATATTTGCGTGTGTCGAGTATAATCGCGTTTTCTGCTAAATAATAGTAAGGTAATAAATTTATCAAACATTTGTTATTATCTCCAATTGAATGTAACAAATTCCAACATACCTCCGTAGCCATAGGTAATCCGAGTACGTAACCACAAGCGCAGCTAAAAAACGTGATCGTGGTCTCCCAGAGCTTCATCATTTTCGTATTGATCGCCATTATACCAGTTATTACACAATGCCAGATCGCCAGCTAAAATATTGACAAAACTTTTAAGTATATTTTCTTGATTATATATTCCTCACTAAGGTGACGATTATATTTTTTAATCGCATATTTATAGAATCCTATTTATAGTATCTCTTACATATATCGAGTATACGAGGAAAAGCTTATGTACCTGTTGTGCGATTCCAAATAAAATGAGAATGAAATAAAACAGGACTGCCCAGAACGGCGACACCTGTTCAGTGCCTAACAATGCCAGTGTCGAAGGCATCAATTCAGTGGCTAACCGTAACACCTGGTATCCGGACTCGACACTTGTGTCCACGCCAGGTCGTATTACGCGTTGTCCAAGAAGAAACGATGCGTGAGACATGAATCTCTCTGGCGTGATACCATATCCTGGTGGCGCTGGATCATTGGTAAGCCTCATAAACGTATACCCTGATATTCTCTCTGTGAAATCATCCGAGAATTATAACTTGTGCGAATGCATCCCGTGCAATGTTTCAAAACGGCTGTTTACCGAAAGAACTAGTAGTGTAGATGTAGCCGTGAAGCCTGAGGATTTGTACGCAGGTATTCGCAAGAAAAGCCGTGAGAAAGAGGACCAGGAACGTCAAGATTACCACGACACTTGTATCGCGCTGTAGGAGATGCTTGTGCTTGTTATGAGCCGCTATCTGAAATTGGTAGTAATCCAATGTATTCCAATGAGTAATTACCGATTGCATCGTTTCAGTGTTACGGCCAATCAAAGAATAATCATAGGAGAAAGTAAGTTGTGCTCGTTAAATAATCATCATAAGATTGTAAGCGACGATACCTGCATAGCGGCTGCACCGAGTAAACCCCATGTGAGGAAAACCTCGTTCGAGGCAGCCACCCATGACTTCCCATTAATAAAGAATTCGCTCCAAACAGTGGCAGGGAAAAGTTGGTGGAACGAGCCCGGAAGGAGTCCGATCAGTTTCGCGCAAAGGACTAACGTGCCGAACACGGGCGCTAGTGTGAAAACGTATACAACTTTTCCGTAAGATTTCAGTCCTAAATTAAAATAGAAATAATCAAAATTAAATCTTTTGCGATGCATTGAACCAAGGTGATGGTTTAAGGTCATGTGAAATATAATAGCGATAAAATTTTCCCTCTCTACGCATCATACAAAAATAAACGTTTTCCAACAATTATTTAATTAGATCTTTCAATATTCCTTTTTTTTATTTTATAAAAATCAATACGTTAAAAAAGAATGTCACAAAAAACTAGCGAAAGAAAGTATAAAAAAATTTTCACGTCCCTTTTTTTTAAAAGAAAATTCACCTTTACTCAGTGAAACAAATACAATCAACCACACAACGGCTAAATTGAAGGCCACTTGGAACTTCAACGTGACGACACCAGGATTAGAGTCAATCAAATGATGTCTTTGCAATACAGCACCGCTGAAGTAATCCGGAACAGTCTCGTGTAATTTGTACGAAGCGGTGGTGTTGTGTGTGAAACGGCTGTCCTCTCGATAGAGAAGAAATGGCTCCGCCCATCGGTACTTGTCCTGCTTCGTTATGAATGAATCTCTGCAATCAATGTACCACGCATTTTGTCCTACTTGTTCAACACGGCATGTCATTTTGATATTGCATCCACCGACGGAGGAGTCTAGAGACTCGAAAGAGTTATCGAGATTATCGCGTCGAGAACGTAATGTATATTAATTTCACATTGTTTCTAGGACGTGTCTCTAGGGCTTGTGAGTTTCATTATTTCTTTTTGACCTACTAAACTTGGAATATGCAAATTCAAATACAAATATGTTCGTTAAATTTCATCAAAACTTAAAATGACATCGATCAAACTTCAATTAACTGAATCAAAAGTAATTTGATTCAGTTGAATTAATATCTTCACTATTTTATTAACATAAACAGAATTACGCATTAAAATTAGTACATATACACACGAATAAATAGAGTAGATAAAGTAAATAGTGTTTCCGAACGAATGCGAACTTGACGAATATGGCCATTCAACCTGTTCATAAATCTCATACAAATAACAAATTACGAATCTCGAACCACGAACCGCACATAATTTGGCATTAACTTAACTCTTCTGAAATTATATTTTTATTCTCTCATTTGCAATCTGGATTCTTTCTTGTTCAGTCCCAAATTTTGATTTTTCTACTCTCTAAAACTTTTAAAGTGACTCTGAAGAGTAAAAGCTCTTTTAAAGACTGAAAATTGAGTCACGCTTTTTTCAAGACTGACTCAATTTTCATATTTTAGAGTAAGATTCCACTCCAAAAAATTTAGAGAGTAGACTTCCAAAATATGTAGAAAAATTTAGAATTACTCTTCACATCAATTTGCTTGAATGTGTAAAAGACACCCAGATTACAAATGGAAGGTAAAGAGATATGTTTCAGATGTATTTTCACATCAAGAATTTACCTGAAGAACACAAACATCCACGATACACCGACTATACTGTAGACACCGATAAATGCCTGCGCGACGAGCAGGGCTATCCCGACGCCTTGACAAATCGGAGATATACTCCACATGTCCACGGAACCGGCTGCCAACCTTTGTCCAAGACATACTTGTAGTGTCAACAGCGGGATGCCTAGTATGAGGGACAAGATCAGGAACTGTATCATGAAGTTTGCTGTAAAAAGAGAAGTGGATAAAGAATAAATTAATAAAATAAATTAAATTAATAAGTGGTATTTGTGGCTCTAATAATAAATCCAGTACAAGAGTAAAATTAAAATGGCATCGGCAAATGAAAAGGTAAAGAAGAATCCTTCACGCGAGAAACGATCAAAGACAACGTCTTACGATTGAGAAACGTTGCTATACGTTGGACGTGGGTATCCGACCGTTTCTTCAATAAATCGGTCATTATTCTCGCAAATAACCGTGGAACTAATTATTGACATTACGAAAGGCATGCTGCGATATGAATTAATATTAACGGCACGGCGCGGCAATTTTGTCGATTCTTGCTCGCTCCGGAAGGTCTTATTTCGCGTTGGCGCCGCATACGTCATGAGAACTCTACAATTTCGCAAACTGAGAGCCATATACGACCCAGTAATAAATTCGATTGCCAGTACTGCGTATAAATTTCGCCAGTCATGAGTAAATACGGAGATCGCATTTTCTGCGTGCTAAGAACATCGAAATCCGACCACATCGAAACAAGACCGGTCTCAGTTTCTCGCTGAAATCATTCCGCGAAAAAATTATGCACGTCAAAAGTCTTCTCATCTCGCGCGTACGACCATCTTACGTCACGAGAGAGGGAATTCGGTGGAATTTTTTAACGAAATCCTTCGAGGACCTTCGTAATTGCACGAATATTGTTATAGCGTCTTATGCTGTTTTATGTCAGAGCCTTGCATTACTTCAACATGCAGCCATCCGTAAGTAACGTACAAAAAAGAACATAGCATACTCTCTAAATTCTTTGGAGTGAAATCTCACTCAAAAGAATGAAAATTGAGTCAGTCTTGAAAAAGAGTGATTCAATTTTGAATCTTTAAGAATAAGATGTCACTCATCAGAGTGACAATTCACTCTAAAAGTTTTAAAGAGTATAGGACCTTTCCATTTCTTACGTTATGTCTTACGGATGGCTATATGTTAACGTAAAGGGCCCAGACACAAGCTTTTGCATAACGCATAATACATAGTGCATAATGGAATCAACCAATCGAAATTCTTCTTTTCCATGGAATGAGAGGAAAGGAAAGCTTCTGATTAGTTGATTCGCTTATGCACTATGCGTTATGCAAAAGCTTGTGTCTGGGCTCAAAGACTCTAACATGAGATGGCATAAGGCAATGTTGCGATGGCCCTGGTGCGTTTGCGGCATCTTTGTGCTTGACGCACGTGTTATGGCGCTCACCTCCAAATTGTATGCTAAGAATAGCGAATCTGCTGATGTTAAAGAGTCCCAGAGTGCAGCTGAGACACGCGAGGGTTGAACTGAAGGCGTGAGGCCATTTTCCCAGAGAATTCTCGTCCTCGTCATCGTCCTCGCTTCTGTCGTTATGCCTGTTGGCATCTCTCTGTCTCTCGCATATCCTGGAACTGATACCACAAAAATGTATGATTATTAAAAGTAATTAATTAATTAAAATTCTGTATCGATATCTATCTCTGACTGAAACTAAAGACCGTCAACTATACAAAATTGTCGCAATTTATTTTAAAACAGCATGTAACGTAATTTCGTATTTAAAAGACGAAAATGTGCAAAAACGCAACCAAATCTTTAATTGACGCAGTAAATTTCATTTAAACTTTGTAAAATTAGCAGATTATAGAGATTGCGAGATATTTTATCGTACACGTCTTCATTTTCGATCGTATAAGTCTACGAGCTGATGCTGAAGATTTCTGAGATCATGTTAGTCCACGGTGAAACTAGGTCGAGTACAATTTTATCGCGTGCTACTGTCTTAATACAGGAAGAGTCTTATCGCGTCTTACTATAAACTTGTCCAGCTGATCTTTTACAAAGATATCCAGACGGATATACCCAGCGGAGCGTACGTAACATCCTCGGCTATGTTCAGGATTCCCATCTAAGTATCACGAAGATATCATTTTATCCTTGTTGTTCACCGAATGTTAAATAAAAACACTCGGGTGAGAATCTGAGCGCGCTTCTACGCAGAAGATCGCGCTAAAATTAGCAAGAGAGAAATCTTTGTATTCCCGGCCTAATCACTGTAACAAGCAATCGCACGAATGGTAGGGGTCCTCGTAAATCCAATAAGGCTATTGCCGATGATACACGAAGGAAATCAACAGTGAATTACGAGCCGCGAGGCTCTATCATATACTTAACGTGATTATCCCAACGGGGATTTAAATCACGCACGACGGCGGACACACCCGGTAGATCGCGCGCTAATATCGATAACAGATGGACCGTCAGATTGGTACCGTTATCATAAGATGGAGAGGCAAAATAGAGAGACGGAGCATATCATGATCGTTAGGCGTCAAAGCGAAGATTCCTCCGCTCGGGGAGTTTCCGCTAAGTTTCGTCGGTGCATCATCGAGCCACTCCTCCTCTTCAAGGGTTGTGTGTTTATGCGTAAAATATAATAATTTTCCTCTACGCGTATTCAATGTAAACTACGTAAACTATATGTTTTACGTATCATCTATGTAAACAATCTATGCATCATCGAAGCCTATGTTTTTTTCTCGTTGCACTGGACTGCATTAAAGCTTCTATCTCGCTTATATTTTTATTTATCAATATTAAAGTCAGATATATTAACAATCATAAAACTCAATAACTTTTTTCTGTGCTGTGTTAGCTAATTTTTAATAATTTATACATTTTACATTGTTTGCATGTTGTCTAACATGAAAAAGATTTATGTAAACTTAATGTAAACAATACGTAACATTCTACGTAAAAGTAATCTTGAAATATACGATACAATATGTTTACACCTATTATTAAATATGAACTAACGATTGTCGATTGATTATCAAATCTTTTCGATGATTATCAAATCTATATACGTATACTCGGGGAAAAAACGACTTTACTATGGTATAAAAATTTAGCTGGATATAGATCTGAAAATAATGTTGCTGGTCTATCAAAATAATTACATAGGAATCTCAAGCATAATGCTGTAAAAAGTTTTGATATTCTAACAATCAGTTTGAGTATCCTAAATCATTATTTTGATGATCCATCCAAATTATTTTTAGATTTGTATCTAAATTTTTAGATAATTCAGTAAAACCATACTTTCTGTGTAAGTTGCGTTTCTCTGTTCCTTTGTAATATTATACAAAAGGAAATGTTCATAGAATCATATTTGAATGAAAAGGGAATGTTGCGAAATGTTACATGTAATCCCTATTTAATATTCTATTATTTTTATTTAAATTATAATTTTTGTAGGATTGTAATCTATATATAAAACCTCCCATCGAAATATCGGATTGACGCAAAACGTCAAGATTTGAAGAATAAAGACTTTTTAATAATATGTATATATGTATAATATTTATAATCAAGATATTTTAAATTAATATGTACATTGCGTTCTTGACATTTTAAACTATTTCTTGTTTCTTGGTAAGATCTGGTCTTTACTTTAAAAAGATTGAACAAATAGCCCGTAGAATAGCCTTAAATTCTGTGAACCGCTTCTCTGGTATGAAATTTGCTGAACCATTGTTAATGATCCGTGCGCTTATTAACGCTATTCTCCTCAAACTTCAATGCACGTATAGCTCGGGTAGCAGAATTATGCTCAAGTTTAAATTAATACAACATGACTGTCCAAACATTTGGATTTTCCATGTTCTACTCACTTTAAAATGAACTTATTAATAAATTAATAAACGATCACTAGTTTATATACTTACATCGATTATAACTCAGAAGAAATGAGAACATACACAATATATATATAATACCTAACTTATAATTAACATTTAACAGTCTCTTTTCGTAAATAACAAAATCTGACGTTTTGACCATCTTAATAATAGCTATATTGTTAAGAATGATCTTTTTTAATCTTTGCGTAGGTATACTAAAAAAAAGTAATATTTACTACTGTAATCGCATGATAAAATTAATAATTCAATAATTCGAAGATGCATTAACTGTTCAACATGAAATATGCAATTCGTATTGAAT